TGACACAAATGTGTCGCAACGTATATACATGTAATAATGTAATATGAACGAATATAAACTGATTTACATTCAATCGTTTCTGTTTTTACTGTAATTTCTAAACAGTTGTGTTCAGCGAAATACGCCGGAAGTCTCAATCGAATGGCAATCTCTAGCGTCAGGTTATTTCAGTCTACACAGATAGTATTTATTGCGCATGCTCTCAAGGGCAGAATATGACGTCACCGTTTGACATGACTTGTGGAATAAATGTCTAGCCTCGTTCTTCGAGTCCCTTGTTACAAATGGCGCTGACACGCATTATGGTACACGAATCGTGTACCAATTGTAAAATGTTTATTTTTTCTTAAATATTGGATATCAGAAGCCCATCTTTTCCCGGTAAGGTCACAACAGCAATGTTGATTTAGATTGACAAATAATTTGTGTTTTCATTGTCAAAGATTTTGGATGATTTTGAGTTAGAGACTTAGCTACTTTAAAGATGAATTCTTACTTTAAATTGGCTGTATATCGTATTACGCTGATCTAGAGAATTTAATTGCGTGTATTTTATATTATTAAAAGTGGACTAATGGCTGCATATACTATTAGTAACAGGGAGAACTCGAGATAAACGAGATCACTGATCTTATTTGATTTTACCATTGTACTAAACTTGGATAAGATTAGTGTGTTTAATCTGAGACCAATCCATTAATGAGATATCCAGGTTTCTTTCACTCTCAACACAGAGCCAACTTTACTTCCATTCGGATCCATCTTTTTTTCATCCTCTGGTAGGCCACACCAATTTGATTTTCAGTCCTTCAGTCAGTACAGCACAACCAATTACATTTGTTTTTAAATAATTCTTTTCTGGAAGGACAGGGTTTCACCAAAAAAAGAAAATGAAATTAGTGTGGCCTAGTGGAGATTCAGCAGGGTAAACATTGTGCAATTAAATTATGGGTGCCCAGGAAACCTTACCTTCCACGAATTACACGAAAAATAATACATCACGAATAGCGTGGGACTCGTAATTGTTTAGAAAATACTTTGTATCAGGGAAAAATGCCAAACAGCAACTGTATCAATTCAGGTGTTCCAGAAAAAAATGTTTAGTAATTATAGTTACACCATATGCTCTCTGCTAAAGTGGAATAATTCCTGGTAATAGAACTGTAATAATTGAATTCTTGCCAACACATTGAAAATATGCACTTAAATACAGATCTGTTTCCAATAAATTACAAACAAATGTTCAATTTTCATTACAACAGATACTTAAAGAGACATCACAGAAATACATAAAATGTTCAAGACACACCCATGTATAGTAAGACATGATTTTATAAAATGCATTTACTTATTTACTTTCATCTCTTTTTTCGATGTTGTTTACATTTACAGTAAACTCTAACAAAAATAGGAGAGAGAGAGAGAGAGGTCCAGACACAAACTAGGTCATTTCAGGACTAACATTGTTCAATTTTATTTCAATAATTCGCTTGCAAGTAGGGGTCTTTAGCAGTGGGAGGAAACTGGAAGAACCAGAGAAAACCCACAAGGCAGGACAGGCAACCCTACTACTCCTTGTCAGGTTCACGCAGGGAATTGAAACCATACCACTTGACTCAATGACAGACCTTATGATTTCATGTGCACACTTAAACCACTAGACCACCCAACCCAAAGAAGATGTCATATTGTGTTTCCTCCCCTACCTTCTCTTTGTCAAATTCCAACGGCCAAGGGTTGTTTTTTTTTATGTGCAGGCCAACATTGATATACATTGGACGTCAGGTTGGGTTGTTTTTTTTTTGTCTCTTCCATCCTGCATCCCAAGGTCCTCATAAATTGTAGGCAGACCAAAATTTTAACTTCACACACGCAACAGTAATTGTATTAAGCAAATCTAGTGATACATTCTAAACAGTGGCAGAGCAAGGATTCTCAGCTCCTACGGCTGAAGACATTCTTGGCACTCCCACATAGTTAAATGTTCACCCTATTTTATTAAATTTTGTTATGAAGAAAAAAAGCAATACAACAATATTTAATATTTGTATCAAAAATGTTTTAGAACTTTTAATGGGAGAACTGGGCGAGGGCATAAATATTAATTAATAGATATTTGTGCCCCTCCCCTCAGGGGCAACTGCCCCCAACCTACTATGCCACACTTCTGAGCTTAAACAAGATATTGATGTTTACTTTGTATAAACCACATTTATCAATGGATGTAAGAGAGCTGCAGTGACTCAGTGAGTAAGGTGCTGGCTCATTAACCAGGTCTCTGGTTCTTTCTCAGTGTTGGCAAAGAAAGTTCCTCCGGATTATCTGGTGTGAGTTTCTGGGACAGAGGGCCTGACAAGGATGTTTCTGGGACAGAGACCTGGCAAGGATGTTTCTGGGACAGAGGGCCTGGCAAGGATGTTTCTGTGACAGAGGGCCTGGCAAGGATATTTCTGGTCATTTGCATGGGACATATGCACATTGGCATGCAAGTAAAGGACACTTGACAAAAATAATAATTTGAATTCAAAAAAGGGGAAGGCCATGGCGCCACTATTCCAAGCAAAATTTCTCTCATAGCACACTGTATTTCCTATGCCTGTTATCATTAGCCCAGTTGGTACAGAAGAGTACAACGTTAAACCCCATTTCTGTTCATTTCAATTCATGAGACCTAACTAATTTTTATTTATTTATAGCTATCCCTGATTTTAGAAGGTAAACCACCATTACCACCAATGACCCCACCAACACCAGCTGCGAAGTCAGCCATTAAATTTCCACCAATCAAATCAAGTAAAATTAATAAAAGGCCTGATCACTTTCCAATGAGCACGGCTCAACAGATTGGTTGGCTAGTTGACAGTGGTGTTAGAGACATGAACAAGAAATGTGATACGAGAACAAAAGGAAAAAATGGAATGCTAAAAATGTTCAACTGGTCTGTGGAGTGCGTGTCTTGATTAAAATATTGTTTGGAAATTTGTTAATTCAATAATTGATTCCTTCTAAATAAATATAAAAATTATGAAAATAAATATTTATTAGGTTTATTTACACACAGAGTTTTATTCTATTATTTAGAAAACATTACCAAACCAATTTATGTCAATCCTACAACAGTACATGTTATATAACTTCTTTTAAAATGATTCTAATAATTTGAGAGTGTGTAATAATTTGAATTTAATCACATCCAGTTATATTTTTCCTCATTATGTGGATATTGAATAAATAAAAATACCAAATTTGTCTGGTTATTCCATGGACCGTATGGTTATTTTTAAACAGTAGAAGCTCAGTTAGATGGTAAGCAGGGAAGTTGATATACCCATACAAAATAAAATACAACTAATGTTATTAAATGAACATAAATGTAAATTTGCTGTAGTGTCTCCTTTATAACATTTGAATAGAACAAACAATTTAACACAGCCATGCAAAGCATATAAATATGTCCATACAGCAGCTATGTCTCGATAGCAGCTTATTTAAAAGGAAAACTTGGATGTTGACCAAATTTGATTAGTATGATCCCTCAAGAAATCTTATCTGTTAAAAATTGTTGACTCACTGGGTTTGGGGAATATGGGGGGTAACTCTGGAACAGAATATTTTGAGGGTTCATCGGATCAACTACATTCTCTCATGACCCCAATGCTTTATACCAGATTTGATACAAATACATTAAAGATTGTATCCTCTATCAAGTTTTTGGAAAAGGGGCTGTAAGTCTGGAACAGAAGGTTGAATAACACTGAATATTGATAGGATTCATCCTCTTAAGACCCCTATGCTTAACAATTATAGCCTCTATCGCGTTGCCGATAAAAACGGACGCATTCACAAGATTTCCGGCAAAGGGATGGTAACTCCAAAATAGAAGGTCGTTGAACCCCAATGCTTTCCATCAATTTGAAAAAGTGCTGTTATAAACTATAACCTCAATCACATTCACAAGGTTTTCAGAAAAGGTGCATGTTATAACTCTGGAGCGGAAAGTCGTGGAATGTTGAATATCAATAGGGGTTGTCCCCTCGTGACCCAAAAACTGTAACCTCTATCGGGTTCACAAACCGTTTGTTGACAGTAGGACGGACAGATTGACGGACAATGTGACCACATAATATACTCAAACTGAAAATGTGATGAATTTAGAGATAAATTATATGTATATTGTGTTTATTCTTCGCTAAAATATTAACACTGTTTAGAGCAAGAGGTCATGTGACTTTTCAAAGCTACATAAGCTTGAAAATGGTGGGATCTACAATATAGATATTTTATATAAATTAAAAAAATGTCTAATTAACAAAAATCTAGTAAGAGCCCAACGGTATACATGTTGTAGTAATCAAATTTAATGTACCTACAAAAACCTGGTAAGTAAAAACAGTAAGCATATAACTTTTATAAACACTGATATTGCCCTGGATTATCCCCCTCCCACCCCCCCCTCCATTTTCCACATTGAAATCATAGGTCATAACTTCAGTAATAATATGCAGCACTTTGATCATGCCATGTGCATGTGTAGAACTCACAGATTATAATATCACCATCAACTTGTATTAACAATATTTATACCACATGTATTTGTATTTCTATACACTTCCATGTATTTCAACATCTGAAACCTTGCATTACCCAGGATAAAAGGGCTACACATTCTTTGATTTGTGCTTTTTTTTTTATGCACACTAGAATCTCACGTCACAATGACAGCACAGAACTCAAGTAGAACCAGTAGACATGGGAGTGTCAGCATCGATGAGCTCACGTTTGGTAGTGATTGGGGTCTGGGGGGGGGGGGGATCTTCCCCCATGAAAATTTTGAAAATTGACAACCGCAAACCCATTTTTCAAGCATTTCAACCCAAAGCAGAAGAAGGCAAATTTTTGATTTCCTGATACAATTAGATAACAGAATGACCTAAGAGCACTATCATTAGATAAATTTGAGAATTCTCTTCAGTGTCAAAAACAAAAACCTTTTATTCTCCTTTCTTTATAGGCTTAGGCCCACTTTTTTTAATGAGCTTAGGCCCACCTGTCACGAACAGGTGGGCAGGTGGGCCCAGTCCAGCACTGTTTTGAACGTTATAATGACTGTCCATTGATTTAGGGTGGTATATACTATTAGAATATGTGATATCTATGACTAGTTTCTACATGCTGTCAGCTGACATCAAGGAGAGTAAAATGTCCGACAATGGAGAAAACACACGGTAATCACATAGACTGAGTTTTTAATTAAAAGTCCAACAAAGGAGAAGCAACAACTTCTTTTCAGGAATGGATTGATAATTAGTTAATCAAGGTATAGGTTGATCACTTAAATACCTAATCAATCCAGATTATTATAAACCATAGTCCATAATCAACATGAGTAGTAGTTATACATGTACATGTACACTCAGTACAGTCAATATATTTTGGAATTTTGAATATTATTCACCATATCTTGATGTCTGATTGGACATATTCTTGGTCAAACGTTTGGAAAATTGTGTAGAACATGTCCGGAATATACAGGCAAAGTAGCATACCTGCATCACATTAAGTTATATTAGATAACTTAATTAATTGCAATCTAATAGAAGGCATATATATGGCACTGATTATCAAAGAAAGAAGACAACCATCTCTATAACATCACCATTAACTCCAGCATTTTATCTGCAGTGAGCTTCATGTATCCTATACTCCAAGAAAACAAAACACTGGTCCTGTACAAGCAAGCTTTGAAATAAGCTTTGTCAAGCAAATTATCTCTTATGACTGTCATTCAATTTCCTTTGGTTATATTCATGGTTGTTATTCATATCCCTTACATTGTCAATTTGCCTGATATTTACATTATTTCCTGACCTGTATATAAGTCAAATCCCTAATAAACAGTTGAATATTATCCATCCTCTTTCTCACTATCTTCATCAGAGTCTGATTCATCCTCTTCATAATAAACTTGAGGTCTATTTACATTACGTACCATGTCACCAATCTCATCATCGGAATCCCCTGAATCACTCGGTGGTAACATATCATCTTTTAAATCTTCATTTTCTTCTTCATTAAATTGTTCAGGCCTAAATAAAAATAATGAATATTTTTGTTTTAAATAAAACAAACTTTTAAAAACATAAAGTATTACTAAAACAAATTAAGAAAAAAAACCAAATAGCCATATTTTTAAAACATTATTTGAAAAAAACTAAAAACATATATTTTTTAAAAAGAAACTAATAATAATATATATATTTTTCAAAAAGCTAATATATATATTTTTCAAAAAGCTAATATATATTTTTAAAAACCTAATCTATATCTTTCATATTTACAAAAATATAAATATGTAAAAAAAAAAAAAAATCAAAAGATATCATTCAAAATAATTTTTCATAATTTCACACTCATCCTCAAAGATCGCTGACATACATGGATGTCTTACAGAATTTTAGTGGACTTCATCGGACCCACAGTACTTGTAATTAGGTGAGTCTAGGACCCTGTTGAATATGACATTATATAAAATGAATTACTTTATTTTCGTATTGTACATGTGAAATGATAGTTCTACATTAAAACTGCTGATAATCATTTGAGGAATTTTGAACACATTGCAAATTATAACATTGTGAAACATGAATCTCTAAAAGTAATATCAGTCCAAAATTGGGTCAAATGCGCCACATTTGGTATTCTAGGCAGACAACAGATACAGAATATGGTCAAAACGGACATAATCCAGAATGGACAAAATTCATGTTGGTCCAAATCGTCTAAAATCAATCTAATTAAAATACAGATCTATATTTCGTTTCATTTTTTATACTTTCGGTGACAAGTAAAACGAAATTTTGAACTATAAGAAACGAAACGAAATACGGTCTGTATTTTAAACAGATTGGTCTAAAATTGGATGAAAATTTACGAAAATTTAAATATTACTGGTAAATATTTAACCGGTTGCTTTTATTTTTTGATGAATGCTATGACCGATCTATGGCTGTTTTCACTAAAGGTTATGACCAAATTTGAGTTTTTAATACTTCATCTATAACCCATATAGACAAGCCAGGGTCTACTATAAGTCTTAGATAATATGTTCTGATGGGCCTCTTCCTAATTCGATTGAATCCCAGCCAGGAGATTATCTGTCATTGATATTTTGATCATGTTTTCTTAAAACAATCAATTTGGCCAAGAGTATTCAGTAAAATCAATAAGAAACTGAAAAGTGAGATAAAAATTGATAATATCTTTTTAAAAATTATAACATCACAACTAAAACAGCTTCTCATCCAAGTAATAAGCACAATTATGCAAAAAATTGGTGAAATTCTCAATTTAATTTTACAACTTTACTTTCGTCAGATTTCTTGTAGATACATGTATTACTAAAATTACTACAAAAATACAGACTTTTCTGCTTCTTGTTATTCATAGATTCATACAGAATAAGATAAGTTGTAATTTGATTGACAGTAGACTATAAATGACACCAAAATAAAGCCATATAACACAGCTATAATTACTGATTGGTATCAATGAGACTTGAAGCCAACATACAAGGGGAGATAATTGATGAATAGGTTGCAATGATATTTCAATTCCACATAGATCTTAAATCTGAGATCAAGTCTTGAAATAAGGCACTCCTTACAGACATTGTTAGACACAATTCCTCTGGTGTCTTTCATATTGTCCACAACAGATATGGCTTTTCAATTTTGACATTTTAATACATATCTGGCATTAAGTTTAAAATGTCTGGCACAACTGCCTAAGCTACTAAGGTATTGATGTAATTTTAAAACTTTTTATAAGGAAGATGAGGGATATAATTTGACACGTACTTAAGGGATAGAGATATTTGACGTCAAATTTATTTAAATATTACAATAATATTACTTGATTGCAGACAAAATCAGTGATAATTTTACCATCAGAATTCAATATCGTGATATTTAAATAAAACGATTAGGAGAATCGTTACTAAAGGTTTCTTTTCCACAATTGTTTATACAGCATTATAAAATTATTGCCCATCTCTAGTCAATTGGGACGACAAGACCAGTGCTACAGTGAAGCCTACATACATTATAAATAAACATTAATTATTACCATTTTCCTTCTTGCTTAATATATTTGATTTGATCTTTATATAATATTGTTACTATTTCTGCCTTAACTCGATCTCCTTCTTCTATAGGATTTACTATAATAAAATCACCTGGAATACAAAACATTTAAACGCTTTAATGACAATATTCCTTTTCAGATTATACTAAGGCCAAAAAAGAAAATATCTGTGTTTATGGTTGCCTGACTCTAAATTTCCCCTCCTAATTTACCACGCCCAATAACTCGGTCTGGTTGTGATTTTCTCTACTAGACAACTTCCAACACTGCAATTTCTGTATTATTTTCAAGAATGTTACTCAGTAATACAGCTATAAATGCTTGAAATAGATAGAAACACCTAAAAAAAGAAACAATTAAAAGATTTTTCGACCAACTGACTATATTTTGTTGAGCCATGTAACCGTAAACACAGGTATTTTATTTCTTTGCCTAATAACACATTACTTGCTAAATTATAATATAATAATAGTAATTCATATTATTTGGACAAGTGTGCCAATTTTACGTGATAAGTAGTATGAATTTTCTGAATATTTTAGAAGCCTGTGATAGCCAATGGTTTCAGTGGATTTCAGAGAAATTTTACATATCTTCCTTGCCACTAAGACAATTATCTCATGCCTATTTGGTGTTTCAGGAAAGAGTAAAAAGGTCTGGGAATAGAAGCTCATTGACCCGAATTCAGGTAACTGTTAATCTCAACTAAGAATGTCAGACGAGTAAATTTTTAAAATGGAAACATTAATCTGGACTAATAGGAGAGGAACTAAATCTCGGCAATCCTTGGAATCATTATGATATGCACAAATACAGCACTGATACTAGCAACGGCTAATAGGAATCAAAGAAAAATAATAAACCAATTCAAGATTCCAGTATACTGTCACCACCACATGGATTACAAATCGCAATTTTTCTTGCACAGTACTTTAAAACTATAGATAAGACAATAATTATGAAAAAATGTATTTTTGTATTTTTATTCACTTCCCATAGCTCCATTTTAACATTTCTGTAAGTGCTGTATTTGACAGAGATTTTAGTCCAAAGCAAGTTAATGTTAAAACGTAATAAATCACAAGGCATATAGTATTCATTAAACACATTTATGATTCTACTTAAAGGGGCATTAAGGTAAGATTAGATAAAGAGCTGACAGTTCTCGCTATAATAGTTAAAAAATTGATAATGAAAAGAGAATATGCTTCACTCTCAATCTAGATATATTAGCGATTCAATTGTGATTACTATCGTTGTTACAATAATAAACAAAATCTCGATAATCCATTTGTACAGTCAATTCATTCAGCACAAAACGTATTCAAATCCACTAAATATCACAGACATCCGATGGCATCGAGAGTTGATTATGGTCTTGTAATATAAGTAAATTAATGTCTAATAGTAATTCTACTTATAGGGGCATTAAGGTAAGATTAGATAAAGAGCTGACAGTTCTCGCTATAATAGTTAAAAAATTGATAATGAAAAGAGAATATGCTTCACTCTGAATCTAGATATTAGCGATTCAATTTTAGGCTAGAATTGATTGTGATTACTATCGTTGTTACAATAATAAACAAAGTCTTGATTATCCATTTGTACAGTCAATACATTCAGCACAAAACGTATTCAAATCCACTAAATATCACAGACATCTGATGGCATCGGTCTTGTAATATAAGTAAATTAATGTCTAATAGTAATTAATAATTTAGATAACATTAAGGGCTAAAGAAAGACCTGCAATCGGCAGATTTAGCTTGTGCCTAATGCATGTTCAATATCTTTTATATCAGAAAATAATAATTTATTAAATTTCGAACAAATCCAGCTTATTGTTTTAATTAATTATGCTCACCTCTTTTTATCCACACATTCTTTCTAAATTTAGTTGGCATACTGACGAGAAATTTTTCACCAGTGGCATTTTGAACTTCATGTAAATTATTTCCTCTACCAGCTGTAACCTGATTAAAATAAAAACAAAGGTTGACATAAGCAGCTATATTGTCCAATCAGCTATGAGCTAAATTGTTTCAATGGCATTTAGTAATTGAACTATGAGCTAAACAACTGCTAAAATTTTAATGGTTGGATCATAATTGAAGTCTATATGGTGCTAAAGAGATTCTGTAACAAAGAGATATTATCCAGGAAGTTATAATGAAAATTGGTGAAAATAAACATGATGGTCATACTCATTCCTTCAATATCACAGACAACCAATATAAATTTAATAAATGCAGCCTATAAAGTGATGATAATGTTTCTGGGAGTGATTATCGATAGGATTCTTCATTTCAAATAACAATCTTACAAATGGCATTCAGTTTGAATGGGGCTTGAAAATTTCTATTTTGTGAAATCTTTTCTGTTAAGGCTAGTATGAGACACAAACCTAAAATACTTATTGTCAAAATATTCAATAAGAGTGAAAACTAGTTCAGGAACAGAAGAAAAAAAAGTGACATATTTAGGTTATCTGATCATGAGGACCACAAAATGTCCCCAAGAGTATTATTTGGCTGATTACAATATGTTAAGTCCCAACCGAACGACAAGACACTATTCCTTGCCAAACCCTTTGTTCTGCACAACTGACAAAGGGAAAGCATTCTACAAAATCCCAAGGAACTTTAAATAACATTAGACCTACAATGCATAGAAAAGAAGGAAAATGAGAGTTTACAGAAAAACCCAGCAAAACTTGGAATGTTAGAACAACAGACAAAGGACCAGGTCTTATCACTTTCAATCCGATTAAAACACAGACCTTATTTCGTTTTGTTTTTTATAGTTCAAAATTTCGTTTTACTTGTCTTCACAACATTAGGATCTGGAAGAGTTGTTATACAACAGGTGTTCTAATTAATGTGAGGAATTAGCCAACTGACTATTACAGTGAGTTCTTGGCGTGCTCTACACGGAACTTTGGGTAAACCCCTAGAAGCGTCAACGCTGATTGATTAATCAATGTCTGACGTCATAGGGTCAAAAGCCACTTGTGTGACCCCTGATGTGACCTCCCAGTACAAATGGTCAGATCTTCATGTTGCGTAGGCCATCGAAAGTATAAAAAAACAAAACGAAATATAGATCTGTATTTTAATCAGATTGTATCACTTTGACTTTCATAAGAAAAGCAAAGGAACTGGCCTAACATTATGGACTATCCACATTTTTTCCGCTCCGGACATAGAACAAGATAAAAAGGGGGTTAAATCAAGGTCATTTCGGGACTAACATATGGTTCAATTTTTATTTCAATATTTTGTTAGCGTGTATGTACAGGTCTTTAGCTGTAGGAGAAAACCCACAAGGATGGACAGGCAACCAAACTCCTTGCCAAGGTGTGGGAATGAAACCAAGTCACTTGATTCATTGACAAACCCCATGATCTAAAGAGCATGTGTAACACCATTCAGTCACCCCCATTTCGGACATAGGCCTACCATACCGTAATTTAGCTAATGACATATATGTAGCATATGCTCGATTGTCAGTCTCGAATTGACAGAAGTGCAATCGAATGATACAGGATCAGTCCTGTCACATGGTGTGAGTAGAATCGTGACGCAATTAAAGACAATGAATATGTTTGCGCTGTTGTGGCTTGGTTGAGCTATTTTCTTATACCTTATACTTGAGAATGAAAAAATTCAATTCCGGAACGTTCATTCTAGTAATATCAGTAATATTCCTCAATAATTACTGCCTTCGTTTGTACAATAGAAAAAGGAAATACTTGTAGTTCATAATGTCTAAACATTGTTTACATTCTTTATAAAATAGTATTTTAAAATTCATCAATAGCTAAAATCACTCGTCAAATAGCATGACAATCAATTTCCATGTATTATCCAGTCTTGTTTGTTATTCACTCTTGTGTCAAATTTTCGTGCCAAAATTAACCGTTTTACCATTTTTGTAGTATGAAATGCATGTATCTAGATCCCTGGTGCCTTATTATGGTAATCAAAGCGTAGTATTTTCATTTTCATGGGTCAACTAGCTAATAATTGAGAGCGCTTTCGAGTTGGTAGCCTATATAGTATAGTGTTGGACTGTTGGTGTGTTAAGCACATTTAGTTGCCCAGTGAATGTTTCTTTGGGTTCGAAATTATTATTAAAATAGCATGATGACGACCACGTAGGTGACCCGATCTTACAACAGAAAATAATAACAAATTAGAATATTGTGTATTGACATCGGTACTGAGCTAATTATTGGGAAGTAAATACAAAGTAAACATGAACAAATTTCTAACAACTTTTTTGGTAATAAAATACGCAGTTGGGAGAGGGATTACGGATGATTGAGGAGGGCAATCAAATATGCACCTAAAATCCTAGATTGGGATTTAGGTGAGCTTGGATAGGACTGAAATGATACGCTGTGCCACAATATGATACAGTACCATGTCCTAGCCCAACGATCAGGTACATCACGATACACAGCTTTTATTGTGAAATTGACCAAATATTGCTTGAAGTAAAGAAAGAATACATAATGTTTCAACGTTATATTGTTTATTAGATCTAATAGGTAAAACAATATGAAGGTAGTTTTTCAATGTTAACTCACCCAGTGTAATACTACTGGACGTGGACATAATAGTCAAAAGAAAAATACCGCTGAAAGTTAAACAAAAATTTCAACACACTTTTCGTAAGGGCCACCGGCATCGCGAAGATGAAATGACTGTAAAATGCAATTTAACTGGTGTACAATTGATAGCTTCAGGTATTTTGCACGAGATTAGTAGGTCAGTTTTTGCAATTGTGTAGTGCGGACATATTATTCTACTGCAGTTTTCTTTACACGTAATTTCTATACGTCCCGTCGCCTAATTTATTTAATAAATATTGTGATAGAGTATGAAATATATCGTGAACCTCACATTGAAAAAAAAATTGCTGTTATCAATTTTCTTATAAAAAGTATCATTCATCGTTTTTATGGAAAAAATTGACGTACACCAGTGAATCGTTTCTGCCCTAGTGATGAAGCACGAGAGCGACAGGGCATTTCAAAACTGAAGGCTTGGAAATGTGCAAAAGTCTATTAGTGTAGAAAATTAAACATCATTTCAGTTATGCTTTAAGGATTAATTTCGTCAGCATGAAGGAATACCTCAAATTTGAGGTCCATATGTGAATTATATCATATCTTTGACGCCAATTAACCAAATTCGTTTTATTTTTGCATGTTGCAGACACTTTACTAAGACAAATAAATAATTTACCCCTAATTTGAAATTCCAACCGTTTGTGAATTGTCGGAAGGATATTTCCTGAAAATTTGATGCACCATATCGGTACTATTTCAGTAACGTACCTCTACCAGTTCCCATGATCGTAGAGACTTGAAATTTTCAGGGGATATTCATGGGGCCTAGCCATGACCTCACACCAAATTTCAGCCGAATCTGTCAATAACTTTTTATTTTACCGTAGTTTAGCTTATAACGAGAGAAAGTTTATCCGATTTTGACGCCATTTTGTTTGTTGGCTATTTAGACTCGAATAACAAGACAGGGTTAGGGTTAGGGCTAGCCCTGTCTACATCTTGAGACTATGACGAAATCTACAGGTCCTAGCCCTTAGCCTAACCCTTATCCTAACCCACAATCCACATATGACGTCATTCTAGCCTAAATAATCAACAAACAAAATGGCGTCAAAATCGGATAAACTTATCTCTTATAGAAGCTAAACTACGGTAAAATAATCAACAAACAAAATGGCGTCAAAATCGGATAAACTTATCTCTTATAGAAGCTAAACTACGGTAAAATAAAACGTTATTGACCGATTCGGCTGAAATTTGGTGTGAGGTCATGGCTAGGCCCCGTGAACACCCCCTGAAAATTTCAAGTCTCTACGATCAAAGGAACTGGTAGAGGTACGTTACTGAAATAGTACCAAATATCTTCAATAGTTGCTGAGAAATGGTCTTTGGTCACTTTTTTTTTACAAATGAAATTCTAAAAAAAAGTTTTATTTCTTAATCGATTTTGAATTTTTTTTTTAGTTTCTTAAATGGGAGGAGGGTTGGAATGCTAGTAAATATCCAGTTTTAGTCTAATTCAAATTTTTAAAAAAAAACCTGCATGGGCTCTGTTAGAAATGGTTCCACTACTGATGTCTTCGGCCTTACTCCAGCCACAGTAGTGGCTTGTCCTACAGAGTTCCTTTGCACAAGTTTTTTAGTGAAATCACTACAAAAAGATTACTGACCTATAGCTCCCTTAATTTACACATAAACTGACCCAAAACAGTACTGCACCTAGCTTAACATATAATAAATCAATTCCTATTGAAATAAAGGTGAAGCCTAACAGCATAATTATATGATTTGATGAAACCCAACTGCTATGCGAAATTTCAACTGGCTGGTGTCATGGCGGCTTGTGTAAAACGTCATTACAAGAAACATCGCTATGCAAATGTAGAACGCATAACCACAAAGAAAAACTGTTCGGTAACTATTTTAGTGGTCCAGTCTTCACTATTTGTCGTAGAATTACTTATTCCAATACAAACTGTAATGATATGTGTTGACAATTGTGCGTTTGAACCTATTTGAACTTGCGTAAGGATTCTTAGACTGTATCAATTGTAACGTTAAACACACAGTTTAACGTTACAAGTATAGTAACTAGGGCTCTGTCTGGTCACTCTGGACAGATCGCAGGCCGGTGTGATAGTTTGAGTTGACTCCTGGTGTGTGTTTTCTCCTGGACACTTGCGCATGTCCGAAACTGATGTTTGCCTTAACAACGAAACTATATCTACTTCCTGCAGTGCGAGTTGGTTCCTGGTCAGACAGTCCAGGAAAAAGTATATCATGTACTTGATTAGAGTTTTGTCATTAATAAACATACTTGTTATCGTGATTAGCTGTTGTTTTAGTGATGAGTAGTTACACGATCAACGGATCTAAGTTGATTGGCTTGAAATTGATACTTCTATCATTCGTGATTTGTTGCCGTTGTTTTTTTTTTAGTGATTAGTCGTTCTACACACATACGATCAGTGGAAACCATACAAATTGATGATTGGCTTGAAATTATCAATTAATTCACCTTCAAAGGAAGATTAAGGTCTTTGATATTTCGTGGCTTCATTTATCACAAATATAAAAGTATGGAATTTCTTATTCCGATTTCTTTAACATAAATATAGATTTATTATACCATCCCATACATTCCAACATGCATGTAGGACAGCCCAAACACAAGAGAGAATGTTCGCATTGTGGACGGGTATATATACTAAATAATAATAATAAAGATCGTCAATTTGCATCCTCTCGTGGTGGTAATACTGTAAATATCGGTACATAATAATCTGATTTGACCGTAAGAAAATCTTAGGGGAAATCCTATATGAAACTGCCACACCGGAGAGAACAAACATTCGAATACCTTTACAATAAATTCATTTTCTTCAGGCAGAACAAAGTCGTCTAATACTTCTTTCGTGACATGTTTCTTTTTTGTAGCTTTTGACATGGTAAATAGTGTTAAAACGTATAAATATAGACAATAACTTCTAGTGCAGTAAAAAAAGAATTATTTCAATTATTTCACCATGTGCAATCATCAACAAAGGGCAACTAACTCTAAACACGATATTTACCAACCCGACCAAAAAAAATATTTCTTTCATTAAAAATTAATGTACCGGTAGATCAAGCTGTGAAACATACTTCGCGCAACCAAAATAAAAGTCTAAAAATTGAAAAGTAACTTTTCGATCCAAGGCAAGGTCAAATAACCATATCTTTAACTTGGCTAAACAATTTTAGAAAGTCTGGATAATTAGAGATATTTTAATTCAAAATTTCCCCCAGGATCAATCATAAATCTGCAAACTCTTTGACATTACACTTACTTTCAAATATCCTTGACAACTGCTGAAATAGATAAAATAAAATGTTGACTTTGATCATGTATGGTTTTCTCTTGATACGTTGTCTCTTTCTTTTCCGTATCGAAATTAGTCTATATAAAAAAAAAACTAAACCAACAGTTGTGTCCAAGTACATAATTTGTATTAAACTTTGGTTGATTCGCCCATGACCTTGCCTCAATTGTGACAACTGGCCGGAAAGACCTTTTATCTAAACCTGTGTCCTAGTAGACCCAAGTTTACCTTCAATTTATTGATTAGTCACGGCAAATATAAGCCACAGAAGTAATTAAAATGGTAAATTGTATATTCCGAGATTACTCCACATTATTTATGTTGAATCACGACATTAGAATTGATTTTACTCATATTATTTCCGTAGAAAATCTAATTTTTGATCCTGTGCTGTAATTTACTGTAAAAACGATTAAGACGTAGTGTTAGAATCAACGCCCTTTACCATATCCACGCCTGTGGGGTACATTTTCTAGAGAAGACTTTATGAAGGTCATGTTACATCCTTATTTCCCTTATATAATCAACATGATGTAATACCATACAGTCTCCACCAATGGATTACCCTACAAATTACAACAGTACAAGTTCATGAAGTTGAAAGTTGAAGTGAGAAATGTAGAATTTAGTGAAATTAGATTGACGCCACAGAGAAAATTGTTGAATGTCACTTAGTATTTAGTATTAAATAGTAACTGTAGTTCACAGAATTGATTCCTGTGTATTACATGTATTTAAAAAGTGGTGTTAACTGTTAAAGATAAACATGTACTAACCTGCATTATTCTTTCATTATGTATTCCAGATTACAAAGAAGTAACTGATGTGGAACAGCAATGACTTAAACTACAGTAATAGTGATTTAAACATTTGTCCTCATTACAATTGTTTGGCTCTGGACTATATCAATGTCTACAATGATAAATGTAGATTAGCTTTTTTTTAGTTAATTATTTACTCTTTATTTATCTGAACTGATCAATTTCAAAACTTGTACATTTCGCACAACGATCACAATGAGTTACGAAATAGATGAGATAAGAGTCATAGAACTCAGTATGATGGACAAAAGAAAGTATTTTCCACTCACAATGTTGAGTGGATTTTGTATTCGTGGCTTGCTGTATCCCGTAACTTTAATCAAAACCAGACTTCAGATCCAAAAGAGTCAAACAATCTATAAAGGCACCATGGATGCATTTTATAAAATTTCCAAACACGAGGGTGTTATTGGATTATATCGAGGATTTTGGGTCAGCTGTTTGCAGTTATTTCCTTCAGTGGCTTATATTGGAACATACGAGACTATTCGACATCATTTAAAGGAACACACTACAGTTAAAGACAGTAAATCACGTTCTTTCATAGCTGGTGGATGCGCGTCTGTGATTGGTCAAACTATGTCTGTACCTCTAGATATTATTACGCAACATATTATGTTACTTGGTCAAGAAAGTTCGGCACGAAGTAAAACTGAAGTACCATTAATCAAAGCTATCGACAATAAAACCAGTAATAAAAGATTTGGTACTGTTTCTGCTGTTATACGAGAAGTTTATAATAAGAATGGTTTAAAAGGATTTTATAAAGGTTATTTTGTATCATTAACTGTGTTTGCTCCAAACAGTGCATTATGGTGGTTTTTCTATGATACATATTCAAGTAAGTAAAATTTCTACAGACAAAAAAGGAAAGATTTTTTTCTCAGACGTTCAGGTTTGTTGACATGCATATTTTATAGATTGAGTAGATGCATGAATAAAGTGAAGTCAATGTCTCAAATAGTTCAGTCGTTTTTAGGTCTGCCAAAAAATCAGGGGATTGTGGACTGTGTCCAAGAAATAGAAAAAAATTGAGAGTAACATTACATTTTATAGACGTGTACATTAGGTAAGATTTAGTTAAAGAGCTAGCCATTCTTGCTATAATAGTTAGAAAAATGATAATGCAAAATGAATATATCAAAAATTTCATTGAAAATACTCTGTGGCAAGCGAAGATGTAAGCCTTTGAAGGTTTGACAAGATATGTGCTTTATTTCTAACCACAATACTGGTTGTTTGAAGCTAACCCCTTCTCCATTTTTAGATTAAATCAAAATATGGGTGAACCGTTCAGATCTACTTAAAAGCAGAGATATCCAATGGCATCAAGAGTTGATTATTTACTTGTCATGTTAATAAATGTCTAATTAATAATTTAGATAACATTTCAAGCCTAAAGAAAGACATGCCAGCAATAGGCAGATTTAGCTCTTGCATAATGTATATTTAATAGACTTTGTATTCTGAAATGTTCTGAGAAAATAAGTAGATTTATTTCAATTTTATTTGATATATTTCAGATTTATTTATGGATGTGGTACCATCAAATTTACCTCGTCTACTTATACAATGTGTGGCAGCTCCATTAGCGGGTATATCTGCAGCAGTTATTACAAATCCTTTAGATCTTATTAGAGCTCGTATACAGGTAATAATTTAAAAATGGAAGTAATAAATGGAATAGGTTTTAATGTCTCGTCAACACATTACTAAACTCTATTTCTATGTAACCCCTCCCACGCCCCCAAAAAGAATTTCATTTCAAGTGATTTGTTAATCAATCCGTTTAGTTTGTCTACAAATTTTGTATTACATTACAAGGAAAGTATTCATGATCTTTTAGAGGCATTTAGTAACTGGATAGAGCAATAAACTATAACACATACTTATGGAAGAACAATTACTGATTTATTTGGGCGACGTTTCGAAGAGTATTCTCTCAACGTTTTCAAGCAAGTACAGTAACAAATGTGTAGAGCAATTATATATAGACAAGCAATAACAGCAATTCAGAAACCATGCATGACAACAACAAGATCAGAGGATTAAAAAACAACATGATCAAAGGCAATATACATATGACGGATTATAGGGGTAAATAATTTTAATTGGACAGCCAATCATGACAAATGAGAAACCATACATGATGTGATTGGCCAGGTGAGGGTACATCAAGGGAGTAATAAAAGACTGATAATAGGGGTAAACATACCATTAAACCAAACAAAAGGGAAGCCATACATGTTACGAAAACATCAGAGGAGTAGTGAGCTACATAGGGATTAAATGTTTAAGCCATATTTAAGTGAATTACAAAATATTAGTATTAAAATGCACACAACATAGCACAACTAATGATAGTCCAACATTCTTTCTTCCGACAGACTCACACATACATTTATTCCTACTATAAGTACAAGAGACACTTAACTGTTTACAAAGGATAATTACATAAATGACCATAAATAAGTGGTAAATTATAAATATTGGAAAGCCACACCACAGTCCTATCCACAGGCTTCTAAGTAATTATGTCCTGCACACTCCTTCCCATTAGACACACACACTTATTAAAATTAGTTCTACAAATGGATAACAAGAATAAACAAGTAATACACATGATACGCGAACTGAGTAACTTAAGCACGTATGGAAGTCTAGGCATGTACACATTAGTTAAGAATTAGTTCATCATAGGCTCTTGGGAGGAATATTCCTGTGTCGCGATTGAGGTCTGGTTTGGATCTCCTGATGTGTATTGCTTCCATGATTTTCCGTGTCTTTTCGTTGTGTTGGTTGAGGGCTAGGGTCTTAGAGGACTGGATTTTGTGGCCTGGATTGGACTGGAGGTGCTGGGCAACTGCTGATTCTGCTGTGGGGGACCTTGAGTTATACTGGGCGAGTCTTTTAGGTAGGGGTTGTCGAGTTTCACCAATGTATGTCATATCACACGAGCACACAACTTCATAGACACATCCTTTAGGTGGCAGTGGAATGGTGGGTTGCAGTTTACCATTCGCTTTCAGGTGGTCTTTAAGTGTGCGTCCTTTGGAAAAAATGACTTGGATGCTCTACACATTTGTTACTGTACTTGCTTGAAAACGTTGAGAGAATACTCTTCGAAACGTCGCCCAAATAAATCAGTAATTGTTCTTCCATAAGTATGTTATAGTTTATTGAAAGTATTCATCATGACTAAGAACAGAATGTAACATTATTTTCTGTATTAAAGATACATTAGGGAAGATTAGTAAAAGAGCTGGCAGTTCTCGCTATAATAGTTAAAAACTAGATAATGTAAAGGGAATTTGCTCAATATTTCTGTCAAATTGATCCACTCTGAATCGAGATTTTAGTGATTGAATTTTCGGCCTGGCCTTGATCGTCATTACTTAAGTCGGTACGTTAAAAAACATAGTCTTGATTATCCATTTCATGATTAAATTAAGAATGAAAATGGAACAGCAAATGGTATCCTAATCCAGTAAACATCGCATTCTAGCGTTGACATCGAGTTGATTGTCTGGATACGTTAATTAATGTCTAATTAATAATTTAGATAACATTTCAGGCCTTAAGAAAGACCTGCAATAGGCAGATTTAGCTCTTGCATAATGTATGTTTAAGTTACCAATACAATAAAATCAAGATAAACTTGAAGGCTGTTGTGATTACATTGTAACTGTTGGAGATTAAGATTAGTAATAATAATATTAATGCTCTGTTTATATGATAAGAAAAAGAAGTTTCTATTGACTGATAATAGGACTATCTAATTGTTTTTTATTCTAATTGATTGAATGCTACCACTCTGATCAGCAGTGAATATTGGCTAGGCCGCTACAATCACTGATAAGGATGACATCGATGTAACTTAATGAGCCCCAAATATTAACTTTTTTCCTCCGACAAATTAAATTCTAAAACATTTTACTTTTTATAATGTATGTATTCGTAGGTAAAAATTATTTCCTATTTAGTGTAAATGGGTATTAAAATGAGTAAAATGCACCATTCTGCCTGAACAGTAATGTCTTATTTAAACAATGCACGTGCCATTGAGCCAATGATTGACGCCGTTTAATGTGTTAAAGACAGTCATCTTTTACAGAGATATTAGAAGACTTTCGTAACCCTCTGTGAAACAGATTGGAATGCTACATGTATAATTAACACTAATCTTTGATTACAATATTTACAATCTACATCTATTCAAAAATGCGCTTTGTTTAAGCATACATATCTAAAAAAAAATGGTCCTAAATAAAACAAATAATAAATTATTATTATGTCTTGATTATTATACTTTGTAATTCTAAAAAAAATTATTTTTTATTTCTGTCAGATATGCATAATTTATTCCTTTAATGCTAAAATAAGAGGCTTGACATAGTTGGAAATATTGCTATTTGCTATAAAAAGTGATTGCAGTGTAATTTGACCATTACCATTACATGATTTTCAGAATGTAATTAATTATATAACCATTACTTTTGAAATCTTCCATTATTCATTATGTAATGATAATATTATTATTCCATTACCATTACCCTGGGTAGGAAAACACTTATCTAATGTTTTCAATATCGACTTTCAGGTGTACCAAACCAATTTACCACAAACAGTACAGCTCTTATGGAAAGAAGAAAGATACAGGATTCTTGTCAAAGGACTTTCTGCACGTCTTCTTCAATCAGTCTTATTTTCATTCTTTATTATCTTAGGCTATGAGACAATCAAACGTTTTAGTGTGTTAGATAAACATAAAAATCAAATACGATGGTAATTATAAGGCAGTTAATTAGTTTGTTTAGGAGATTCAAGTGATCTGTGGTACCAGTAAATACATACCCTATTTGATTTAATCATAATCTTTAAGTGGCATTTAGCAATTTGGAAACACATCAAAACATAAAAATTGTGTTATGTTAATTGATTTAATCAGTGCATGTTTTACCCCAGTGAATGTATTTTATTTCATTATCTCCCTTGAACTGTGCAGACCAATCTGATTAAAACACAGATCTTATTTCGTTTCGTTTTTTTATAGATCAAAATTTTGTTTTACTTGCCTTTACTACACTAGATTCTGAAGAAGTTGTTATATAACCTGCGTTATGGTTGATGTGAGAGATTAGCCAATGAAAAGGTCTGTTGCAGCGAGTTCTTGGTGTGCAATACACAGAACTGTGGGTATCCCACTAGAAACATCAATGCTAATTGGTTAATCAAATGTCAGATCTTCATGTAGTAGAGGCCATTGTAAGTATAAAAAACGTAACGAAATATGGATCTGTATTTTAATCAGACTATATGCAGAGAAGAAACCCCAACAAAATTATAAATTTTTGATGTCAACCAACTGAATTCTACATGTAGCATTTATGGTACATTTTTATATGTTATGGTATGTATGGATATGTATATGAGGATATTAAATGATTTTAAATGTTTTAATTTTTTACAAGATGATTATTTATTTATTTTCATTAGTTGATATATTCTTTATTAAATGTATATAATCATAATTTTAATATATAGCTCATTAAACTATCAAGATTATAAATATGATTTGCATAAAAATTTAATTAAATATTTTAATAGTTGTATATAGAATGAGAGAAATAATTCTTTGTGATGTCCAGAGAAAATAGTGATGGGTCAACAGGATGCGGTATACTTTGTGAACTGGTTGAAATATCGCAGACAAGACATAGGAGAGCCGAAGCTGATTCCTGTTTTTTAGAATATGATTTTGCAATCTTTCCATTTGGCATTAGGCCATGGACTTTGTTTATTGGGAAGGTCTTCCCTTTATTTAATATAAAACATATCGTTTGGTAGATGATTTCGTCTGCTTCTGGATTGGTAGATGTCATTGTTTGGGGTTAGTGTTTAGGTGCCAGGCCCGTCTTATCGTGGCCTCCCCTTACTCCACTATCCCACTCTTTGGGCTTGGTATCAGTTTTATTTGCAGAATAGTGTTTAGGTGCCGAGTTCGTCTGGTCGTAACTCCCCCTTACTCCACTATCCTGCTAGTTTGGTAGATGTCATCTTTGAGGGGTTTGTGTTTAGGTGCCAGGCCCGTCTTATCGTGACCTCCCTTTACTCCACTATCCCTCTCTGTAGGTTTGGTGTCTGTTTTGGCGGAATAGTGTTTAGATGCCGAGTCCGTCTGGTCGTGACTCCCCCTTACTCCACTATCCTGCCAGTGTGGTATAAATCGCCTTTGTAGTTTAGTGTTTAGATGCCGGGCCCGTCTAACCGTGACCCCGTCTTACTTCACTATTCTACTTAGTCCAACTGTCCATTAGGGCGTGGATTTGTTCGAAGATTTGCAGTTTCAAATCTGGTCTCGGGAAGAGTAGATTCTTAGTGTTGAATGGTATGTTGTTAGTCTCCATTGTTTTCACTAGTTCCCTTCTCTCCTCCTTGTATACCTCGCAGTCTACCAGGACATGGTTGGTGGTACATTCTTCTCTGCACTCACAGATGATGACTTGGTGTTTGTAGTCTCGCAGCCGCTCTTTCACCCTTAGCTTCGATATAAGTCTACATATATCTCTTCTAGGGTGATTGAGTGTTGTCTTTGTATAGATCTTGTCATCCAGCCGGAATCTGTATGTGTCAAGTTCAACGAGATTTAATTCCCAGATTGAATTGACCTGTCTTTTGACCATACTGTAGATTTCCGTGGTGCTGTAGTCTATGGTGCGGATTGGTGCTGTGTCCTTGAGACCTTCATTGGCTAGTCGATCTGCCTCCTCAACTGGTTGATTGAGACAACATTTCTTATAATACATGTAAGTCCTTGTGCAAACAGTGATCAATAGACAGTAGGCTACTTTTTCCAGACCAGTATTCTTTGTACTTGTAGTCTCAGCAGTGAAACTTGGCCAGAGATATTCAGTAAACTGCTTACTTCTAAAATAAAATACTATGCAAATTTGACCTTATAATATGATGTCATTTGTTTGTCAAAATATCGCTGCTTGAATATTTATGTCGTATCATGGTTTTCTGTTTACAGTTTATTTAATGGTTGTAATTCCATACAAATATTTCAATACATCTGTTCAAAATTGTGGGTTCTTCCAATAAACTATAGATTAAAATCTACATGGGGCATTGTTTATTTGGTTGTGGTTCTTTAAAACTACTGAAAATAACCGAAAAAGATGTCAAGATTTTGTAATGTGATTCTCCTAAAATTTCGAATGTATTATACCAGATGTTATAATATGTGTATACAATTTTCGTATATATTTTAGGAATCTGTTATTGAGAATTATACATCGATTATTGTTATTTATTTTGGAATCTGTTATTGTGAGTAAAGTTATACATCGATTACTATTATCTGACTGTGTAAAGACTCTGTTATTGTAAGAAACTAGTCTAAAATAATTTGATATATTATTATATATAAACGCATGGAACACTCTTATGGACAGCTACCAGAATTTATTATCTTCAGAAATGATGTCACTATTTCAAGTAGTTAAAACCGGATCACAGCCTAATCTAAAGTTAATAAATGCAAATTAACACAATTTAAACCTATGTCTAAAGTTTGTATTCATCGATTCAAAAACATGATACAAATGGTTGTGTATGTGTGTAAATGGTGTGCGTTTTTAAATATTTTGTTTTAATGGTGTTTGGATCCTACAAGTATCATTTTTATCTGACTTTTTGGTATGATATTCATATGTGGTTAATCCATTTATATATAGGTTGGAAAAATTGGTCTCCTGATATTTAAATTCAGTCAAAATAATACTATGCTTGTAATAGAGGTCTTAAATAAAGGTGTTGAATAATTCAATATCCAGGGTATACAAATATATATCTATATTAATCATATTTTTACAATGAATAGTAATCATTGATGATATAAGTGAATTAAAAAGTTGTTATATGAAGAGATTCAACTTCACTAGCTTAGTGCTTAGTTACCATTGTTTACCTGCATTCTTAAAACTCAGGAATAAAAAGATCAAAGAGCTTTATATAGGTATTGTACTCCTTTATTGTCCTCTGCCTTTCGAAGAAAGCAGGGGACTATTAAAATGGGTTCGTCTGTCTGTCCGTCCTTAGGTATTTATTAGAGTAAGCAGAGATAAGCAATTTGTTTGGTTGATGCTTTGGGACACGATAACTTTAGTTCTAATTAAGTGAGAGTGATGAAATTTGTTGGTGTATAGTTTTATTACATCAATACCTTGAATAAGTTCGATAATGAGTATTTTTTGCTCAGGGTAAGCAGAGCGATAAGTAATTTGTTTGGTCGAGACTTTGAAACACAATAACTCTCTTTCTAACTGAGGTAGAATGTTCAAACTTGGTCATTCATTAGGTGAATGCCTTGATGGAGTTTGATGATAAACATTGTCTGCTTACTGTAAGCAGAGATAAGCAATCTGATTGGTTGATGCTTTGGGGCAGGGCAACTTTGGTTATTATTAAGGGACAGTGATGAAACTCTGAGTATAGATTCATTATATCATTACCTTGACTAAGTTCGATGATGAGAATTTTCTGCTTAGGCTTAGGAGCGATAAGCAATTTGATTGGTCAAGAAATTGGAATGTAACAACTCTGCTTTTAATTGAGGTAGAATGTGTAAACTTGATGTAGAGGTTCATTAGGTGAATGTGAATGTCTTGACTGAGTTCAATGATTAACATTTCGGGCTAAAGCTAAGCTGAGCTAAGCAGTTTCATTGGTTGATGCTTTGGGACAAGATAACTTGGATTCTATCTGATAGAGAGTGATGAAACTTAGTGTATAGTTGATAATCAGTTTGATTGCTTGATACTTTTGAGATAAATAAATGTGCGATTAATTAATATGTGTCATCTTTTTTGGGATTTCGGTGGGGGACACCAGCCTCACTGTTGGCTTGTTGTAATATGTAATGTTGGCTTTAATACAAATAAATATATATTTGTAATTTTTGTATGCAGACCAAGGCTCTCGTCTCCATCAGATTTGCCAGTCAAACTTACTGGCAGGGAAATTGATCAAATACATTTAAATGTATAGTTTTTATCTGCATGCCCTTCTTTTATTTCCAGTGTCTTTAGCCAATCTAATTAAAACAAGATGTTATTACTGTTCTGTTATTTTAATTGTCATTTCATTGACATCTAGAGACAAGTTGCCTATTGCAGGTCTTTCTTTAGGCCTGAAATGGTATCTAAATTATTAATTAGACATTAATTAACTTATCCAGACTATAATCAACTCTCGTGGTCATCGCTAGCCTGCGATTAGGATCTGGTTTGCTGCTCAACTTTCATTCATGATTTAATCATTAAATGGATAATCAAGACTATGTTTTTTATTGTACCGACTTTAGTAATGATGACCGAGGCTATGCCGAAATTTCAATCGCTAAATTCTCGGTTCAGAGTTGATCAATTTGACTGAAATTTTCAGCAAATTCCCTTTACATTATCTAGTTTTTAACTATTATAGTGAGAACTGCCATTTCCCATAATGTATCTTTAATATACTATTCAAAAAAAGTAGGGGATATTTGATTTTTAAGTGTTATTAAAGTCACCTAATGAAACTGATGAAGAAACAAATGACAAAATGAAATGAAGTTCACATTCATCGATTTATTCCAAATGATCGTTAGACTAAGTAAGGCACAGACTGACCATTATAAGGGTAAAATGATACCCGGGGTCAAACAGCAAAGTTACCACAGCATCACAACCAAGTCAGTAACGGGTAAATCCTCCTCTGTTTGCCAAACAAGCATTGATCCGACGTGGCATACTCCTAATGAGACGTCTAAGGTCATTTTGGTCCAGATTGTTCCATTCCTGTTGCAACGCAGCAGCAAGTTCTTGGACATTGGCAGGACGTTGTTGACGTTGACGTAACCTCTGTCCAAGCATGTCCCAGACATGCTCGATGGGGGAGAGGTCGGGACTCAGTGCTGGCCAAGGTAATGTGGTGATGTTCTGTTGTTGGAGGTAACCTGTAACGATCCTGGCCCTGTGACATCTTGCGTTGTCATCCTGGAAGATGAAACGGCGGCCATGACGTCGTGCGAACGGCACAACATGGACTGCCAAGATGTTGTCCCGGTAGTACTGGCCTGTAACACGCCCTGCAACAACATGTAAAGCCGTTCTTCCAGCAACAGTGATGCCTCCCCACACCATAACAGAACCACCTCCAAATCGATCATGTCTGATGACGTTAACGTCTTGGAAGCGCTCGTTTCGACGACGCCACACCCTCCTACGTCTGTCCAAAAAATCAACAGTGAACCTTGACTCATCTGAAAACATCACATTGCTCCAGCGTCGATTATCCCAGTGTTGATGATCCCTACACCAACGACGTCTTGCCTGAATGTGATGATCTCTCAAACAAGGGATCACGCGAGGACTTCGGGCGCGAAGGTGACCCCTATGCAGTCGATTCCGAATCGTCTGGCCACTCACTCTCACACCAGTGTCTGTTTGAAGACGAGCGCTGATCTGATTTGCTGTGATGACACGATTTCTCAAGGCCAAGGTACGGATAAATCGATCCTGGGCTTGAGTTGTCGCCCTTGGTCGACCTGAGCGTGGTCTGTCCTGTACAGATTGTGTATCACGGTATCTGGACCATAGCCTGCTTATGACAGACTGAAAAACATTCATCGTCCGCGCCACAACCGCTTGTGTTGTGCCGATCTGTAGCATGCCAAGGGCACGTAACCTTTCATTTTGGGTAAGCCGACGCATATCAAAATTTGTTTTCTGGTCACTAAAACAATTAAACTGATGTTTCCACCCTGGAATTCAATGCCACAATGACTGTAACATTCAAAGTCAGAGTCGTGCAAATCTTGGGTTGGACCCCCATGATGATCCCAAGCATCACCTGCATTCCATGCGGTAGCTATTGGTGCGTTTGGGCGTCACATGTAACTGGAAATGTTTCTTCTGTTAGGTTCTATAGTGACTTTTTTCGTAGTCATTTGCATATTTTAGTATTATGCCCCCAAAATCAAATATCCCCTACTTTTTTTGAATAGTATATATATCGAAATTTTCATTCAAATTACTCAGCTAAGTTATGACTTTGAATATGTAGTGTAGATTGTTTATTATTGTAGCAGTGGTAATTGGCAAACGAGACTAAGTCTCAATTATCGATTTTATCGGTAAATTTTTATATGCCCACATTTAAGTGTGGTCGCATATTGTCGTCGCCCCTGTCTATCCGTCCGGCATCCACATTTGTTTGTGGACGCTATAGAGGCTAAAGTTTATATCCTATTGATTTCTGATAATTACGCCAGTGTTATGGCTCGTGATCACTCTAAAAAATCTTGTGGACGCTCTGGAGGCTAAAGTTAATATCCGAGTTATGGCCCTTGATCACTTTAAAAAAAATCTTGTGGACCCTCTGGAGGCTACGGTTAATATCCAGTTGACTTTAAATTTATACACAGTGTTTAAAGTCATGAGATGAAGAAGCCTATTGATTTTCAATACTTTCTGACAAATTGACAAAGGGGACTAAGTCTCGATTATCCATTTTATCGTTAAATATTTATATGCTCACATTGAAATGTGGTCGTACATTGTCGTCACCCCCATCTGGTCAGCAGTCTGGTGTCTATAATTGCTTGTGGACACTCTAGAGGATGAAGTTAATATCCGATTGACTTTAAATTTATACACAGTTTTTAAGGTCATGAAATGAAGAAGTCTATTAATTTCTGATAATTACTGCCAGAGTTATGGCTTGTGATCACTCTAAAAAATCTTGTGGATGCTCTGGAGGCTAAAGTTAATATCCGATTGACTTTAAATGTATACACAGTGTTTAAGGTCATGATTTCTGACAATTACTGCCAGCGTTATTGGTCCTTGATCACTTTGAAATATCTTGTGAGTGCTCTAGACCAGTGGTTCTCAACCTTTTTTTGCCAACGGCACAATTGGAACACATGACAAAATAGCGGCGCACCTGGCTAAATATATACTATTCAAAAAAAGTAGGGGATATTTGATTTTTAAGTGTTATTAAAGTCACCTAATGAAACTGACGAAGAAACAAATGACAAAATGAAATGAAGTTCACATTCATCGATTTATTCCAAATGATCGTTAGACTAAGTAAGGCACAGACTGACCATTATAAGGGTAAAATGATACCCGGGGTCAAACAGCAAAGTTACCACAGCATCACAACCAAGTCAGTAATGGTAAATCCTCCTCTGTTTGCCAAACAAGCATTGATCCGATGTGGCATACTCCTAATGAGACGTCTAAGGTCATTTTGGTCCAGATTGTCCCATTCCTGTTGCAACGCAGCAGCAAGTTCTTGGACATTGGCAGGACGTTGTTGACGTTGACGTAACCTCTGTCCAAGCATGTCCCAGACATGCTCGATGGGGGAGAGGTCGGGACTCAGTGCTGGCCAAGGTAATGTGGTGATGTTCTGTTGTTGGAGGTAACCTGTAACGATCCTGGCCCTGTGACATCTTGCGTTGTCATCCTGGAAGATGAAACGGCGGCCATGACGTCGTGCGAACGGCACAACATGGACTGCCAAGATGTTGTCCCGGTAGTACTGGCCTGTAACACGCCCTGCAACAACATGTAAAGCCGTTCTTCCAGCAACAGTGATGCCTCCCCACACCATAACAGAACCACCCCCAAATCGATCATGTCTGATGACGTTAACGTCTTGGAAGAGCTCGTTTCGACGACGCCACACCCTCCTACGTCTGTCCAAAAAATCAACAGTGAACCTTGACTCATCTGAAAACATCACATTGCTCCAGCGTCGATTATCCCAGTGTTGACGATCCCTACACCAACGACGTCTTGCCTGAATGTGATGATCTCTCAAACAAGGGATCACGCGAGGACGTCGGGCGCGAAGGTGACCCCTATGCAGTCGATTCCGAATCGTCTGGCCACTCACTCTCACACCAGTGTCTGTTTGAAGACGAGCGCTGATCTGATTTGCTGTGATGACACGATTTCTCAAGGCCAAGGTACGGATAAATCGATCCTGGGCTTGAGTTGTCGCCCTTGGTCGACCTGAGCGTGGTCTGTCCTGTACAGATTGTGTATCACGGTATCTGGACCATAGCCTGCTTATGACAGACTGAGAAACATTCATCGTCCGCGCCACAACCGCCTGTGTTGTGCCGATATGTAGCATGCCAAGGGCACGTAAACCTTTCATTTTGGGTAAGCCGACGCATATCAAAATTTGTTTTCTGGTCACTAAAACAATTAAACTGATGTTTCCACCCTGGAATTCAATGCCACAATGACTGTAACATTCAAAGTCAGAGTCGTGCAAATCTTGGGTTGGACCCCCATGATGATCCCAAGCATCACCTGCATTCCATGTGGTAGCTATTGGTGCGTGTGGGCGTCACATGTAACTGGAAATGTTTCTTCTGTTAGGTTCTATAGTGACTTTTTTCGTAGTCATTTGCATATTTTAGTATTATGCCCCCAAAATCAAATATCCCCTACTTTTTTTGAATAGTATATATGAGAAATATTTAAATTTTACAAAATAAAAACATGGCAAGTCATAAGACAGCATACAACAGCAGACACAGACTAGTCATAGACACATAGAATGACGCAAACTTAATAAAACAAAACACAGCTATTAAGTTATTTTTTTGCAGTCAAATAGCTGGCTTCTTTAGTGAGAAATTTTCTGAGTGTGCCGTTCAAAATTTTGTGGCACACTGGTTGAGAATCACTGCTCTAGACTATTCAAATTCATTCCTGATAATTACTGCCAGATGATGAGCATACACTTAAATGAAAATAACATTTTTGGTCAAAACAATTTAATATTAGTTTTATTGCACTGGTAATTTTATGTATAAAGTACTGCATATTATTTTTTTTGTCCCCCGCCTTTCGAAGAAAGCAGGGGACTATTAAAATGGGTTCGTCCGTCTGTCTGTCTGTCTGTCTGTCTGTCCGTCACACTTTTTGGGACACAATAACTCTCTTCCTAATTGAGCTAGAATGTTCAAACTTGGTGTATGTGTTTATTAGGTCAATGCCTTGATGGAGTTCGAAGATGAGCATTTTCCGCTTAGGGTAAGCAGAGATAA